GTATTTGGTAGTATTTTAAGAGCCAGTGATAAGTTGTTAATGTTGTATATACTTGCTGGGGATGAAGGGGGAAGTTTCTTTATTGGGGGGGGAGAATTATTTCTTTTCTCTGCACATTCTTATATTACTTTAATGTAATTGTTTTAAGTTTTTGTATTAGTTTTATCTGTTCTATATAATTGTTAATAACATTATTGAAAAAAAAAAAAGAAGCAGCCATGCTATTGCCCTATCCACTGTCTCATGTTGTGCTAGACAGGCTGATGCAGGCAAATATCTGGATCAGAGCCAAGATGTGCTTATAACTAAATAGCACTTTGCCAATTGAACACCATGATGTGAGTGTATTTATGATAGAGGAGTTCAGTTTAAAGGAGATTCTGCAGCTGTCTCATATGGCATAGTGGCTGTGGTCAATATTGCTTTGTTTTCCTCTTTTTATTGTACTTGGCAGCTGGAGAATTTTGAGAGAGAGGAAAGCAAACAGATGGTGAGCCCCAAAGATAGAATGCTCTGAGTCACTGCTCATCTAATGCTTCCATTTACAACCTTCTCAATTTCCCTCTTTTTTCAAGCTGTTTCAAAACAGCTGTAATGATTTCTACCCTTTTATCCTGAAAGGTGCTAATTAAAGCTGTGCACATGCTTTAGATAATACTGCTTTAATTTAGGTCCAGGTCCCAGACCTGTACTTCTGTTCCTCCCCCCCCACCGAAAACAGCCACCCCAAACAACAGATTTACTTATTTAACTCTCAGCTGCACCAGCTGTTCACCAAGCATCTTTTTGTTATTTATACCAATTCCAAAAGCTCAAAGCAGTTTGTTGTCAGTAGGGTAAGGAAACCTCTTTAAACAAGATAATGAGTATGATATTTACATTTTTCATGGAGTTAAAAGTAATGCAACACAGTATTGTAGTTTTACTGTCATGAAGTGAGATATGGGCTTATAGTTCTTCCTCCCTCTGGTGCCAAAATAATTCAAGTGGATTGGGGTCCTGTATTTCTTGACCATGAAATGGAGGATGAGCATTGCTTTTTGCTGCTCTGCAAAGTGACTTGCAAGCCAAGTATTGTATTTTGATCCACAGAACCCTACAGCAGCTGGTACTCAGTGTACAACAGGATACCTAGATTATGTAAGTCAATCTGAACAATTTCCAGTATTTGGAGTCAGTTGCTGACTTGGGTTAGTGATTGCGCTATAAGATGAGTGGGGTTGAGAGATTGGCTGGCTTTGCACAATGCAGTAAGCCATAAAGAAGCCAACCACACTGTAGTCTAAATATTCTGCATACTCATCCCATGCAGTTAGTTTATGCTTCAATATGTTGTATGAACCCCCAAAATTGGGTTGAGTAAACCATTGTTAAAGCAAGAGTGGTTACTGTGTTATACAAACACAGCCTATCTCTTAGGCCAATAGCCTTGTAGAGGAGATACCACTGAACGAAGAAAGGTGGAATATATGATGATGATGGAGGAGTGATACAACAAATCTGGCAGGGTCAGCACCTTACAGACTAGCCTGGGAAGAGCAGTATCATTTATGTGGAATGGAAAAGGCTACCAGCCTATCCTTGACCAAATATTCTACCAATATTAGGCACCTGTTGAAAAAGACATCTGGAGAGGAAGATTATCAATTCAAGAAACACACCTGTTTGTAAAGAATGGGAAAAAATCTAGCTATTTTGATAAAATATAAGATAATAAAAGAGCTAACCACTTTATGCATAGACAAGAGGATCTTCAAGAGGTTGTGATAATAAAATACTATTACTTTTGTGTTTATCACATTTAAGAGCACATGATTTACCGATGCCAGTGCTCAGGCACTAACATGATAGCAGGGACAGCTGGAAGAAATCATTCTTGTCTTCATGACTTTTGATGAAAGATGGCATAACAGATGTGACTAGATCGTATGAGCTTTCAAACGAATAATGAAAGCTGGGGGCAGGGGAGGTGGACTTAACAGAAACATGACAGCCACATTTTATGCTTTTATTTGGGTTCTGAATGACACCACAGATAAAATACTTCAGTCAAATACAGGAAGAACAGGTTGCTGTGGAGCTCCCCCAGATGCAACAGACAGAGTTAACTTGAAAAAGAAAATCCTGTTAGAATTGCCCATATGAAAACACCATTTGTAAATCTTGGACTTGAACACCAAAGTTCTATCTAGACCAACTATAACTGGATGCGATCCAGGCTACAAGTCATAATCTCCACTGCCCTTATACTGTCTCCATCTGATGGCAACAGGAACATTTGTGGTGACTTGCAATCCAGCCAATGAACTGCTACATTATCTCAAAAGTGCTCCTGCCAACAGTCTGTTCACTCTAGTGGAATTTACTTTATTACCATCTGAAGAGAGACTGCATTAACAACAGTGTTTGACAGATGGTACTCAAATGTCCTGATCCATAGAGATGTTCTGACTTCCCCCTTCCAATACAAACAAAGAGCTGATTTGGGGGAAAGCCCTTATGTGTGGGAGGTTCTGCATTGCCCACTGGCATCTGTGTAGAGACACATGACTGGAGAAAGCTGATCTAGATCATACTGGAAGAGTTCTTAAGCTCTTCAGCACATAAGCTTTAATGTCTAGACTTAAACACTATTTGTAGGAATCAGCCAGTGTGGAGGGAATCATGGTTCAAAGCAGGTAAGCAATAGAGAAACTAGAAGGGATGAAGTTCTTACAATATCTAGATTCAGTACTGCTACCAAACACATATAAGAACATTTTATAATATATTGTACAAGCTTATACAGCAATATATGTCAATTGGCAACACTGTACAGTTTGAAATCTAAAGTGCGCAGCCCTCAGCCTGAGGTGGAAAAAAAATCAGCAAGATCATTCAAAAGGCAGCACAACTACAGACACAGTTTTCTCTCTTTTTTCCTATTTTGCAAGGTTACAATGAGCCACTAGTACGCAAAGTTATATATGTTTAGTCAAATCATATTACATTGCATTTGTATCTTCAAGTATTTTGAGAGAGTGTAAAACAATATTGCTTTACAAACCCAGGTGGCCATGTTGCTTTTAGTTAAAGCTAAAACCCAATGTTTAGTCAGGGTTGTAACTGGAAACTGTTCCAGGATGTGAAACTGAGGAATGGCAGATTTCATTTCCTCCAAGATAGCCTTCCCCAACATGGTAGTCTCATGATGTTGTGTAATGCAACATCCATCATCTGAAACCACTGGCCATAATGGCTAAGACTGATGGGGATTGCAGTCCAAACATTTTGAGGGTGTCACATTAAGGAAAACTGCCTAAAGTATAGCTGATCTTGCGTCCATAAAAACTAGATGGACTTTAATTTTGTTTCCCTAAGAGAGGTATATGAACAGTGGATAGAATATTGATTATCATAATCACATATTTGTATTTAAATAGCACTCCATTACATTTTGTAATTCCATAACACTTTATAAGGTAGGCTGGTAGTAGTATTCCCATATGGTTGTTAGGGGCTAAACCTAAGACCTGGTAGTGTGGTTGAGTCCATTTATAACTTATGTTAGAAAAAATCCAAAGCAGAGATTTTCTGCTTCATAGTTTAGTCTCTTAGTCGTTATGCTAGGCCAGTTCTGACCTCTAACAGTGGTGTAAATAGTAGTTAGGAAGTGTATAGGAGCTTGGGTGTGGGAAACCAAGCTCAGATGAATGGAGTAAATGTTTTGGACATGTCATTTCCTCATAAGACCACATAGATCTGCTGGGACATTAGCACCCAGCTTCTGAAAGGAGACATGGTCATAGCAGCAGCTACAAATATCACATGGCAAGTACGAGTTATTTCCAACTCTGTGCTGCCTTCAGAGGTCAACAGCATTGGATGTCTTCTCAAGCTCAAGTCTTTGCAAGGGGTCCCACTGCCAATTCATGGAACCTGCTGCTGATCTTTGCTGTTACTTGAACTATAATAAGGTTCCTTACCAGTGGACTGGCCTTTTTAGAACCTGTTATAAGAAAAGATTCATATTTCCTTCAGTAGGTCTGAGAAATATTAGTAATATAAGTAATTATTCTGAAGTGTGATCTTTTTTGGAGAATACTCCAAATGCAACCCTAACTTTACTCTTGGGTAGCAGTCTGAAATGATTGTGCTTCTACTTAGCCAGGCCACATGGGAAATATCACTAGGAATAGCAGCATTTTGTGATTTCACTGTTATTTTTGGTTTGTTTGCTTACAAGTTGCAGACATCTCTTGAGGTTCTGCAGTACTAGACTGGAGATGTACAAGATAAAAGGACATGTAAAACAAACATTTCTTTTTAAGAATTTATGTGGGTTTATGTCTCAAAAGAAGCACTGTTAAACATTTGATGCATTTCATCTAAGGAAAAATAAAATATTTTATTTTTATATTACTATTTGTCCCTGTAGTTTTTAGAACCCATATAAAATAAAAAAATCTATATTTTACAAAATAGGATCTTTTTTAATATATATATTTATATATTTATATATTTCTTTTGTAAAATTAGATGTATTTAAGTACATCTGAATGTTGCATGTAAATTAGAAATTCTGTTCTAATAGAGTGAAAAAAAAGATAAAAGTTTCTTAATTTTAATATGCATTTTTGCATTTTGTTTTTATGCTGCCCTACAATCTGTGGCCATTTGGGAACCATTGTACTATTGGCTATTTTTAACAAAAGGAATCACTTTTACTAATCACACTGATCTTTGGAGGATGGGATTGCGAACATATATGTATGCTTGATATGCAAAAATGCAGCCTTTTGTATACCATCTTCCTGGAAAACAGGTATTTGCAAACTCAGAGGGGAGAAAAATACTTTTTAAAAGGAGCAATGTTCTTGATTTTAAATTGTACTCTACTTTGACGCCACAATATAGAAAGAGAATCACTTTGGAACAAACTACAAATACATTCACCACAGTTTGTGACAACTTAATTGTCTACCTAGAGGTGCTTCAGAAGGATCTGGAAGATTATAGGATTATAAATCTTGCCCAAGGCGTTCTATTTCTTCAATCAGAAAATCGATGTCTTGGTGAGCTGCTGCTGGATTGGAGATAACCATGCGGAAGAAATTGACCTTGTCTCCCAGGGGCTGATAGCTGACCATAGTGGTCCCGTACTCCATCATTCGAGCTTTAATTACTGGTGCCACCTTCAAAGACATAACATGGAAAGCAAATCAATACTGTATAGTTGCTTCCTTCTGAGTCTTCTCTTGACCAAACAAAAGATGGAACTAGTGATGCACTTAGGGAAGGACTTTGGGGTGAGTGTACAGCACTATTCAACAGAATGAACAGCTCTTCAAAGTCAATAGAGCTGCTTTTTGAGGTGAATAAATTAATAGATGTTACCATGTCATGGGAACCCACCTCTGTAAAATCACTAAGTCCAGAAGACCTCCTCCCATAACAGTCTAAAATTTAGTACAAAGGTTGGCAATCTTTTAAAATCCTGGACACCATAATTCCACCTCATTTTAATAGCCTGGAGACTGCCAAGATTTCTGTGAGATTTCAGAAACTTTTGGTGGAATTTCATATGTCAGTGAAAAAAAAAACCTCATGAAGTTTCAGGATTTTCATGAGATGTCCAAGTATTTTTAGCATTTTTTTCAAGTTGGGAGGTTCAAGGACTGAGGGGCACCCAGCATCTCTGATAACCAAGTTGCTAATCTCTGCTCTAGATTGTTCTCCAAAACATGTGACTTTGCTTCAGTAACATCTAGCACAGAGGTAGGAAACCTTGTACCCTCTAGAGATTTTAACTTCAGCTCCCATTAATCCCAGCTTGATTATTCAATGGCCAGAGATGAGGAATTATAAGCCAAACATCTGTACAATAAGTACCAGGATATTGATCCTTTCAAGAAGAATTTAACCCGAATCTTCATTGTGAACTTATAAAACTCTGCCTTTGTTCTCCACTGCCACTAATGGGATGGGGAATAATGGAAATATAGTTTATTTCATTTGATAATTAGAAGCTAGCCCTATCTTCCATAAACTGTGCAGGCTGATCAATTAACCAGTAAGGGCTTCCTCTCTATTTAGAAGAGATTTGAAGACTCTGAGAGACCACCCAGATAGAGTTGGATGTCCTTAGAAATTGCATAGCAGAAATAGACATCTCTCTCTCTCTCTCTTGTTCTATTTTTTCTCTCTTTTTTTTTTTACCTTTGAAAGACGATTCATTCTTTCTTCATTATCTTCTGTATTCCGTAAACTGGGAGGCACGTACCAGAAGCAAACATTTGTGTGTTGAGGCTAATGGAAGAACAACAATGCCTTATACTTGAAAAACAGTTTAATTGCAGTGAGCACCATGTTTTCACTTTTCCCTGGGGTCACCTTTCCTATGATTGTGATCAGTTGAAGTGTTTTTCTTGTTTATTGACTTTGGTGAAGCACAATAAGAATCACTAGCATTGTAATCAATGCATCTACTAATGTTTCTTGCAACTTATGCTGGGGAAATCCTGCGTCACTCCAAGATGCTTTCTTAAGAGGGCAACATCCACGTTCAAAACACTTACTCTGGGGCACACAATTCATTATTATATAAGTGTTTGTGGTTCGCTGCCCATTACATCAGATGCATGTACTCTGTGCCATAGAACTCACTGTTGTGATCTTGCAGAAAATTAATATGGCTACCCCTCTGGAAACAGTTGGATAGAGCTACAGTATAAAAGCATTTATTTATCCATATTGCATTGATGGGCATGAAAGAAAGACTGAAATAATTTACTGCAGGATGACATTTGACTTTTTGAAAGGTAGACTCTTTCTATGAACTTCCACTGCCCTCCCTGACCACAGAGTTAGCCCACTGAGTACCTGGAGAGGCAATCATGGCATAGGGCTTGGTTATCTGAGGGACCGCCTATCTCCAATTATCTCTGTCCACCTGGCATATTCTGGAGAACCTTTCATGTATAAGTATAGTCATACTTGGATGTGACCATTAATGTTGATTCCTTGTAGTATGAAGATTAATTGACAAACATTCTCATAGTTGACAAGTACCACTATAGTACCATGCCTCTCATCTAAGTCCATCTAAATAATTTGTGCAGACTACAACTGCTGATGAATAATATTTGAGATCTATCAATAACTAAACAGTGAAGGACAGAGTGCTAGGCAAGAACTAGAGAAATCTTAGTTCACACTTCCATAAGCCACAAAACTTTAAGATTGTCACATCGTTGTCTTGTCTGTATCTTGGAGTTGTAGAGATAAAACTGAAGGATGGAATATGATGTACACTGCCTTGAACTTCTGAAGGGGTCTTAATTTGTCAAATAATTAACAAGCAAACATTAATATATTGATAGAAAATCTCCAACACGACAATTTTATGTATGATTACTTGGAAGACAGTCCATTGATTCATTCTCACAGATCACTGTACCTGTATACTGTACAGTATACTGTACACCCAAAACTGTATCTGCTATTCAGATCTACAATAAAAACATACCTTTCCATCAAACACCATTTCATAGCCTTCTCTGTTCTTAATTTTGTTATATAAGTATTCTGCAAGTTCCAAGCATTTGTCAATATGTGCTTCAAATCCTATAGTGCCCTGTAGAATAAAAGAAAGAAAAAAATAGCATAATAGGTATACAAGCCACACCATTTTTTAAAAAACTGTTTTGGTTGATGCATTAAAATGCAAAGTATAAGCCCAAAAGAAACTTGAGGTTAAATGTGTCACTACATGTTACATCTGCTGTTTAAAACTTAACAGTAGCCACAGGGGAAACTCAATTATGTTGCTATCAAAGCGTGTGAAATGGAGATATTTAACTCTTTCTTCCCCAATTATGATCCCATTATTATTATTACAAAAGAAATTCCTAGTGCTATCAATAAAATTTCTTACTACCTTAAAATTAATATCAACTTATGGTTGTATTTTCTTCAGGGTTGTTGTGGGAAGAATAAAGTTAATCCTGATTCATCTCTATTATAAATCTGACAACTATTTTTAATTCCTTTGAACAATTGTTTCGCTGAACAATAAGAACAAAGCTAAGTGATCATGGGAAAGTTGTAATTATGCATTATTTGTCCAAGATGCTCTTCTACAATGTGCCATATGTACTGGAGGTCTTACATTCCTGTCTTTATCATTTCTATAGCTCTTTCTCCAATCTAGTTTCCAGTAGTTGTGTGACATTACAATTATCATGGCAATAAGTTCATTACATCTGGACATCCCCAGTTTAGAAAAGGCTGCCGTGGTTGATGAAGGAGTAGCAGACTTGCTCCTAAATTACATCTCTCTTCCCTAGATAGCATGTCCTGTATGCCATAATTAAGCATACTTGGAGCCAACATATGAAATAGAGCTTTTGAAAAGACATTCCCTTTGAATCCAGCTAGTGGACAATATCTCTTAAAAGGCAAATGCCATTCGCACATTTTTTAAAATGCTGAATATATTGATATCTTTTTATTTATTATGTAGTAAGACTTTAAAAGTTGTATTATTAAGAGTTTCTAGAATACCCTGCACAGAATATTAATTAGCATTCTTTATATATATATATAAATATTTCAGAATGTATGTGTGTGTACACACACACACACACACATACATACATACATATACATACTTGCTTTCTAGGGCTGCGAAAGACTGACTGGCCCGAGGTCACCCAGCTGGCTTCATACCTAAGGTGGGACTAGAACTCATGGTCTTCCATTTCCTAGCCTGTTGCCTTAACCGTTAGAATATGCTATAAAAAGTCACAAGTACTTTTCATAAGCATATACAGGTGGTCTTTGTTTAACAACTGCTTGTTCAGTGACTCTTTGAACTTGCATTGGTGCTGAACGAGTGGTAGTTACTAGTGGTCCTCGTACTTACACCAGTCACAGCATCCCCACGGTCATGTGACTCCAGTCCAGGTGCTCAGTGCCTGATCACAATTACAACATCACAGTGTCATGTGATTGCCATTTGCAACCTTTTTTGCTGGCTTCTGACAAGCAAAGTGAATGGAGAAGCTAGCGGTAGGTCACAAATGGTGACCATGTAATGTCCTCGCTTACAACCCATGGTGATTTGCTTAATGATGACAACTGGAAGTGCTGAAATTTCCATCACTAAGCAGTGCGGTCACATGACATTGTGCTTTATGACCGCATTGCTTAGCAACAGAAATTCCGGTCCCAGTTTCCATCGTTAAGTGTTACCTGTATATGCAAAACCTATTTTGGACAAACTGGACCACATTGTATTTGTATAGAAAAGGAATGAGTAAATCATTGTGTCATTGGAAATGCAATGAGAATAATGCTTAATTAAAGCATTAATTTTTGTGGTGCCCTAAAATTATTATATTCTGGGAAAAAATAATTAGACATATTAATCTGACTTTGAGACATGGTTTATTCTTTTGAACTACATACTTATCGCATGGAAACTGACAGCTCGACAACATAAATGGATACTCCCAATCCGTCCTATTATTAAGAAACTTGTTCTTCAACCTTTGAAAGATACATTTATGGCCCCAGTTGCTCAGTGAATTGAAGACCTGATGTTATGTGTGACAATTGTTTACAAACGTGGATTACAATGATACAAAATATAAAAATGATTTTGGAAACTATTGTGTAAAAATGTATACATCCAAATACATACGTGTATGAGAAGCCCTCATATACATAATTTTTGTGGTGCTTTCCTTTCCCTTTTTTATTGATTTCTTTTTGGTTCTGTTTCTCTTCTGTTTGATTAAGTTAATAAAGGCAAATAAAACATAAATAATAAATAAAGCTGAAGACAGAGCTTTTCTAGACAGCTTTAAGGGCCCGATGCCCTGTACCATGTTGGGACTTTTATCGGATCTACTGTATGGCTATGTTTTCATACATTATTGTATTTTCTTACTGAGTCTTTTGATTGCAGTGGGATATACATTTGAGTAATAAATAAATAATATAATATAAAGAAATAAAGGAGAGGAAATGCTACACTTTATTTCACTGAGTGCTGGAAGCTGGTGATTGGCAAGCTTGATCCCAGGACAGTGAGCGCTGATTGACTTGTCTTCTCTGAGTTCAGCTTTTGGTACCTCAGGCTGAACAATGAGGGGCTGAAGGTGCTTTCACCAGCACATAGGTGACAACATGCTGAATTGCCTTTGTTAAGTAACTTTGGGGTGGGTTTAACATGTGTTGGGAGTGATTTGCAGATGGAATAGACAGCAGTGGAGCAAAGCTCACTATAACAAAGGTTACTTATTTATTTATTGCTGTTTACTCTGATGAATCTATTTTTTAGGGAAACCATGCCAGAAAAATTGGAATCATTTTGCAGGAATAATTTATTTGGCAACCCCTTTTCAAACTGCCAAAGTGGTAGTCCTTTGAGATTTCTCCCAAATATGCCCCAGAAAAGAACAGATTTTTAATTAGTTTCTCCACATCAATAATATGCCTATTCCTAATTGCTGCCTAAAGTGGAAGCACGTGTTCTCATCACAGTTTTGCCACATCTAGTTTTAAGAGTTCCTACAACAAAATCCTTTCTGTTTCCCAAAAGCTTTTAGCTTGATTGCATTAAAGTGTCATAATTACGCTGCCAACTAGCAAGAGCTGGGTGACAGCCACAATTGCATGACATCAAGGGATCTAAGCTTGAAAGTGACACCCAATTTCTTCTTGGTGAAATGTGAATGTATTAGTATTATTGTTTGTTTGTTATTCCCAATATTCTGCTTTTATCTCTTTCTCACAGAAGTCTTATGCAAGAGATTGCTCAAGTTTACCTCCAAGCTGCAGTGCAGAAAGACTAGGAAGGGTTGCCTAGCAACCAACATGCAAGTTCGACTTGTCCAAAGCACAATGGAGATTGAAGCAAAAATGTCGCCTTCACCAAAAAAATTTTTTAAAAAAATCACATGTTGGTAGGATAAGGGAAGGAGTAGGCAGAATGGCAACATCAGAACAGGAATGGTTGAAAATTTAAATAGGAATCAGTAGGAGCATTGGAGTGATCATGATCTGTAGCAAGGACTCAGTATTTTAGTAGCATGGGTGATGGGCAGGGTGATAATATGACATACATGACATACATGTAGGAAGACCTGCAATTTTCTCTTCCCCCCAATAACACCTTTTGGCAATTTCTTTCCCATTACTTCTATTTTAGAAGGTACGCTAGAATTGTTGTGTGTTTCCTGTTTTGACATTGCAAAGCTCTTTAAATATTCATGAATGTGGGTACCTTTTTGATCAAATACTTAAATGCATACAATTAATTCTTTGTTAATTTTAATTACATTAATTTAAATTTAAATTTTTAATTGAGCTTATTTGGTCAATTCCATTAGATGTAAAAAAAAACAACCCTTTTAAACACCACCTCTCCTACACATACAGCTGTATGTATTATGTTCTCGGTGTAGTGTGCCTACAAAAAGTAGCATCATCGGTGTAGCTCCTGGGTAACAAAGGCTCCACTGTAGATCATTCCAAGGAAATTAACACACCTGGTCTTATCTCTGAAGTTCAACATTTTTCCTTATTGCATTTTTGAGATCTCTCATTTGTACTACTCCTAACCCCCCAAACATCATATAAATGCTTACCTTTGCCCGCCACATCAGCCATAGCTTGAAGACGTCAACGTGGCGCCCACATTGCAATGCCTTGTCTCCAGTGTCATAAGAGAGATCATAGTGCTTATCTTGTTGGAAGAGGTAAGAAGCATGCATTTGATTACAGCTTTGCATCAGTCCCTTAAAAAGAAGTAGACATACTCTGTAGAGTTCTGGTTCTTGCATCTTAAAAAGTTACTTATTGTGTTGGAAAAGGTGCAGAAAAGAGCAGGCAAAATGATCAAGGAGCTGGAAGAACTCTCACAGGGTTTGGAAATTTTAGTTTACGAATAAGGCAAGTACAGGGGTCATGTCAAAAGTGTATAAAATTATGCAAAATCTGGAGAGAGGGATAATTTCTCCTTAATATCAACACCTGGGGGATCATCCAATGAAGACAGGCATGAATGTATATATGTATGGTCTCCAGTCTAGAGAATCTAAGGAGGAGCGTGTTATTGCACTCCTGATTTACTTGTGGGTTTCCCACTGGCATCTATTGTGGAAATAGACTTCTGGGCCTTTATCAATTCCACACAATAATTCTTATATTCTTGTGTTGTCTATTCTAAACAGAGTCAGGATCAGATTTACTATAAAGCAGCTTACTATTCTTTTTTGAGCAAACAGGATTTAAACACATCCCTTTTTCCTACTGGGCAGCTACTATGGAGCTTATTCTAATTCTGGGTCAAAAAGTGATTGGACTTTTTTTTAGTTTCAGATATTACCTTCATCACAAATCTGTGTATCTGCTATGTCGCAATGATGAAGAACCATCATATGAAAAGGCAAACGTTTGAAGGCAACAAGAGATCATTCAAAGTTTCAGAGCAGTGTTTCTCAACCTTGACCATTTTAAGATGTGAAGACTTCAACTCCCAGAATTCCCCAGCCAGCCATCTTAAAGTTGAAGTCCATACATCTTAAACTTGTCAAGGTTGAGAAACATTGTTTTAGAGGCTTACCTCTTCTCGAACAAGCAGGGCAGAGCACTGCAGAGGGACCCCCATCATTTTGTGTGGATTCCATGTCACGGAATTTGCTCTGGAACAGAAATCAAACTTTAAAAGGAAGTGAAATGATCAAGGACTGCAATCTCAAAGGCTCAAATACAAAAGAGAATATAAAATGTAATAAGGATTTTTGTAGGGCCAAAGCAATAAGACTGAAAATAAGATAAGCATTTTTTTTAAAAAAAACAAAAAACAAAAGGTAGATAACATAAGTATTTGATGTCACCATCAGGCCTCAGTTCAACTGAATTGGATTTGCACAGACCATATTTTCTGGTATTTAACACAAAAATTAGGGACTTTGTTTTGGAATCTTAGCCAACTATTGCACTAAGAAAATAAGACTTCCCCATTACAGGTAGTCCTTGCTTAATGACTATTCATTTAACAACAATTCAAAGTTATGACGGCCTTGGAAAAAGTGCTTTACAACCTGTACTCGTGCTTACGACCATCACAAACCATCTCACCCCCCACAGTCCCGTGATCATGATTTGTGACTTTTTACAATGGTCATAAAGTGAATCACATGGTTGTTAAGTGAATCATGTGGTTGTTAAGCAAATTCCATCAAAAACGTCTATTGGGGAAGTTGGATTCACTTTACAACCACGTGATTTACTTTACGGCTGTCATAAAAAATGGTTGTAAAATTGAGTCTGGTTACATGGTGACTCACTTAATGACTGCCCCACTTAATGACCAGTTTTCCAGTCCCTATTGTGGTTATTAAGCAAGGACTATCTGTATGTGAAACCAGAATATTAATATCATTTATGTATAGCACTTTTCATTTTCCATAATGTATTTATTTTACATATCACATTTATATAGCTGCCCATCTCACACAAAGTAACTCTGGGTGGCGTGCAATAATGTATGCCTTCTGATTCATCTTCCACAAATTTTTGGAGGTAATTATTAATTTTGTTTAACAGGAATAAAACTAAGGTTGATAAAACAAGTTGCTACAGTACAATATTTTGGTTTTTGGTTTCACAGATGAGCAGAGAATATATTCCAATTCCACATCCACATCTTCTGTTTTCTTGAGGAGGGAAGTATTTCTGATGACATTTTATATTTGTGTTTCACATTAGTTCTGGAAGGTGGATGAATATTAAATCATTAAGATGTGTGATAATGAATATATACTTTTTGTCTTAGCTTCAATAAGAAGTTTAAAATGGAGTCCCACCAGTAAGAGCTGAAATATGTGCAGTTACTGATTTACATGTTACTTCCCATCATACATCATGGTTTCCTGCTATATAAATATAGAGAGTTTCAAACTTGCCTGTATCCCCTTTTCCCTTGAGAAAATAGATTAGAACCTTCCACTTCTGATTTTAAAGACTGAATTCCCCAATGTCTAAACATGGAGTACTGGACTTTGTTAAATTATGGTTGGTTAGAATTAGCTAGGATCTGAAAGTTTGGCTTGATTGGCTTAAACCAAACCATATGCCTCCAATATCTTCATTAACATGCAGAAGGAGGAGGAAAGCAAGAACCCAGGATCATCTGAAGGCTGTTCATATGCTCCTATATTAGGAAATAGTATGACTGTTATACAGCAAGGTTCCTCAACCTTGGCAGCTTTAAGACAGGTGGACTTCAACTCCCAGAATTCCCCAGCCAGCCTGGAAGTTGAAGTTCACCAGTCTTAAAGTTGCCAAGGTTGAGGAACCCTGTTATATAGAATAACTGATTACACACATTAGAGTAAGCTATAATGTGGTTTGCCCATATGTGGTTTAGCACATTGAGTAAATGCAGCCAATAGTGTTTCAAGCCATAGTTTATGGCTTAAACTATAAATTCAGACAGTTGTAGTTTATCTTGTAAACCATAGTGAAGCAAAACATGCAGTCAACATATTAAACAATATCATTGAAGAATGTCTTGGAAGGATTGGAAGTGTGAATTCAGTGCCACTGACTCTTCAGCAGTTCATGAACCACTAACTGCAAGGGAGCAATAGGGTATAAGTAGTGTATTAAGGATTTACTCTATGTTCTGTCTTTGTTACTTTGCCTGGTCTTTGTCTAAGAGATTGCTAAACTCAGAATCACTTTCTTCTCTCTGAGTCTCCTTCTGGTAGGATGCATTTGGGTGGTAGGCTTTTCTTAGAAAGCCAGTTAGTGTAGTGGTTAAGGCACCAGACTAGAACCTGGGAGACTGTGAGTTCTAGTCCAGCCTTAGGCATGAAGCCAGCTGAGTGACCTTGGGCCAGTCTCTCTCTCTCTCATCTCTAGGAAGAAGGCAATGGCAAACACTTCCCATCTTGCCAAAAAAAACTGCAGGGACTTGTCCAGGAAGTCACCAGGAGTCAACCCTGACTCAAAGGGACCCTACCGGGAAGGAAGGAAGGAAGGAAGGAAGGAAGGAAGGAAGGAAGGAAGGAAGGAAGGAAGGAGTGTTTTCCTTTAAAAAAATTCCCTTTCTTTTGTAGTTCCAACACCTGCTTTGCTAATTATTGCTCAGATCAGATTCCTGCTCTCAGGACTGCTCACACAGACACACTGAAATGCTTCTTCCTCCAAGAGGAAGGGATAATGGCTTTCTCTACAAGTAACATATTGTTGGCTTATAGCTTTCAAAAGATAATACATGCCTATAACACTGTTTTTCCATACATCTTTCCAAAAGAATCATATAACTATAATAATAGTTGGGGAGAGGGGGGAAAGCAAAGAAGGTAAAGCTGAAATTCTGTATACATTTCTGAATATTCACAAGGATCATTGGACTACATATCTAATTGATAAAATCCAGGTTTTACAGCAACATGAACATACAGAAATCACAATTATTTCTCAAAAAATGGTAAATTAAAGGATAAAACATCTATAATAAATTTAAAAGGAAAACCTGAAGGTGCAATGTACACCTCATAAGGAAACAAAAGGGGAGCATTTAATTAATCTGTATGTCAATTTAAATTTTACATTGTCATCATATTTTACTTTGAGTTGCAGTTTTGGTCTTGTGAACTAGCCTTTTGGATAAAAAGGCTGCTTAGAAGTCTTTAAATGAATAATACAATTTTCCTGTAAATATAAATCCTGAAACAAAAAAGAAAAAAGCAGGAAGTATTGAAACAGGAAGTTCTTATATACTTTGCATCCTTAGACATTAAGTAAAGACAGAGGCATCACCAGAAAACTCTTAATTCTGAACACTTTGTATGCATTTCCAGCACATCTGATCTCCACAGCTGAGACATGCAAGCTGATCATAGTAGTATAATACTAATCTTTGCCACTCCACGCATTTGAAAGGAACCTGAACAGAACCAGAGCAGTCTGAACACATAAATGATATAGATTTTCATGAAACAACCTGTGTGTGTCTGTGTATGTGTTTTAAGCAAAATTCAGGTCCTCTGTCACCTAAATGTGAATTTGCTCCTTTCCTGCACATTCTTTCATTTCACTTCCATATGAACTTCAGTGTTAAAAAGCCCCAAACCCTTCTTTTTTATGAAAAAGAATGAATAGGTAAAGGGACAATGATATAAAGTAAAACTGTACAAGGGTTTTTTATGTTATATAAGCAGGTGTGGCGGTGGGAGAGGTTAAGAACTCACAAGATGGAGGCCACAATCATGCAATCAAAGCCCCGCCCCTTTCATCAGTATTGCACATTTGATGCATATAAAATGGGAAAGGGCTTTGATCTCGACTGCCCACCATCTGGACTTTTTTTTTTTTTTAACACCTCCTGCAGATGCCCCTTTATGTAAGCATTTTAGACCAGACTTCCCTGGTCTCAAGACTTCAGGGGTCTTAGTTCTTACCTAGCATGAGCAAAAGCCATATTAGATGGAAATTATGAGAATTAATGTTCAAAAAGTTGGAGAACAATAGAAGTGAATATGTGTAGCTCCGGGTTGAACTGTGGAGTCCTTGGAGTTCTCTGAGCTTGGTTGTTTTCTTGCAAACATTTCA